CCAGCCAACAAGGGCACCCCATCCAAAGGTCAGTCCAGCCTCATTGCCTGCTCCCTGGGAGCCAGATTGCTGTTGTGAACAAAATCAGAAGGCCATCAAAAAGAAGAGACCAAGAATGGATTTTGGATAAGCAACCAAACATGATCATTGCCGCCCCATCATCACTTGTCCATGAAAAGATGTACACGTTTCTAAAGGTCATTGACTTAGCCTCAACCTGAAACAGCACACTGTTTGGGACGACTAGATAGAAGTATTTATTTGTGGCCAAAGCTAGGAAACTTTGAGCATCCATTGAAACTCACAGCTACTTTCTGCACCATCACTCACACATCCCTAAGCATCTCTTCCAAACTTCTCTGTGACCCATCTAACAAGATACCTTGCAGAAATGAGTAGCTTAATTTGTAACATGGACTTGAATTTTAATGGAGTTACATTTGCATCTGTTGAAAACATGGTAATTAGGTACATCTTAATTGCAGAATGACTATGCTGCATTAAAGAGAAATAAGCAGCTTCACACAGTACCGTCTTTTCAAAACAGAAACTTGAAAGTATATCTCTACAGGTAACCACATGGGAAAGGAGCTGATTGCTTAGTGCACAGCGCAGGCTAAAAGAAGCAGAAATACAGTCAAATATAGGTATTTTTCTTTGCTTGAAGAGAATCATCTTAGTACAGTATCTCTGCTCAAGGAAAGCAAGCAACCTGTAAAGATGAGCAAAATTAAAGAGATGAACAATAAAAATTTATATAACATTTTAAAGAGTAAATTGCCTAAATGTAGATAGTTGATTAGTTTTTACATCATCATTTGCTGGGTGAACACAATGGATGAAGCCATTTATTCATGCTATAGTAACCGATACTTCCTGCTTGCCAAATAATGTTAATGAATATCTTCCTGTGATTTCTTAGCCCCAAAGGATAAAAAGTATGGTGTGTCCCTTATTATCAAGGTAGTACTGAATGTACAAAGGCTAGTCTTAAAACTTAAAAAGAGATATTGACTAGTTTATGAGTTACCTTTGATACATGTTAAAAATTAAAGCCTGGGGCCAATTCAAGCTTTTAAAAAATCACAGTACTTCTATGTAGTTAAGGGGAACTTGAGAGATTCATATTTTTCTCTCTCAAGTAATTTTAGATTTTGAGGCACATATAGAATATGATACATGAAAAGAACATCTTATGTTTGTATATGGGAAGCTGCATATTGCTAAATATTTTTAATTAGCTGGCATGCAAAGGGATTCATTAAACCAGCACACCCCCAGAAGATTTTCCTTGATAATGCATTATCCAAATTGGAATGTTCAGAATAAGCATAACGAATCCTCAAACGTGCACGTATCATTTTAAACAGTCCACTTGCTTGGAACAGGAAATGGAGCTTGTAGCTTTGCTTCTATAAAGTGAGGTTATACAACCCAAAGTTAATAAAGGATTTAATACTAATATTTTTTCTGTTTCACCCAATATAGAAAATAAGTTGTATTACATATACTAGAAAGGGGCGGTGAATGTGAAAATGCACTGGCAACAATTCCAAGTTCAGTCTGTAGTTCGTTGTGGAGGCACTGCCTTTATCCTGTTACCCAGCCAAGAGCAGACATATGCCCCTTGTACTAATGCCAAAACTATTAGGCAGAAGACTAGCAGAATTGCTACTGCTATTTTCGTTCATGATTTATGATAATTAGGTGGTGGAGGACTAAGCCATTTACATTTACTGAGCTCACTTTTTGTTTATAATTTCAAACTATGTGAGGGTTATACAATCCATTAGATGGTACCTATAAGACTAACAATGATAGCATAAGACTATGTGATACCATACCAGAAACTGATGAGCACTAAGCCATGTACAGAGGGCCTCCTCGGTGTTACAGCAGTGAGTTGCAGCTAGTCTTGTGCAGCTTTATGAGGGGAGAACAGTCGAGGATGGGGGTACTTAGTGATTGATAAAAGTTTGCCCTGTTGGGTAAAGTCATGAGTCAAGTCTGACCAATCGTTTCTTTGTTGAAATAACCATTGATGCGTGGCTGGTTTTAGGAACTCCGAGTCTGGGGAAACACACAGAATCATGCCGTAGGAGAAGTACAAGATAACAGGAGAAAGTGTTATCCATAGAGCTGTGAAAGTGTAGGTACAATGAACTTTCCATGTACGATGCATGTATGACGTTAAAAAAAATTTTTTTTAAAACTAATGTTCTTTATTTAACTTCCACAAAGGAGCAGACCAGGCTGTGCAGGTTTCAGGAACTCTGGAGGGTTGTTTTATGTAGCTTTAGTCCATTATCTCCAAGTTGAAGCCGCACCTATTTCCCAGAGAAGAGAAGTGGTGGCTTGCAACTAGATAGAGCCAAGGCATCTTCAGCATGTTGTAACTCGGCCTCAGCGGTATTTATATGCACTTGGGGAGCTCTTACTTCAAATGCTACCTACACAGTTCATAAACTCTTGGACTAGTTGGCCAGAATAGTTTCTCCTTGCTCTGTCTTATACTATAAAAAATTATAGACTAACTCAGCTCTTATTTGTAAAACGATAGAGTTTCATTACCTTGCCCGCCTGGATGTTGTAATTAACTTCCTCTAGCAATCTAGCACAGGTCCTGTTTATATATTGACTGATAGAGAGGAAAAGAAACAATGTTGTTTGTTTGTTTTTTAAGCTTCAATATCCTTTGAAGCAAGAGTAGCGCATGAGACACCGTGAGCGATGCATATGGTTCTTAGATTGAAAAGGTTTTAACAGCGCTTCTAGATGGAAACACCTGTCACAGAGGAAGCAAGATCTGGCCATCGACGTCTGAAAAGTCAGCCAATGAAAACCTTGTGATTCACAAAGCTCTGACTCCATTGGGCACGAGGCTGGCCTGAGTCCAGAGGTTCAAAGGCAGCTGAGAGCAAAGCCAAGCCAGCCCTAGAGTCACTGTGCGTACTGGAGCTGGCTTCTTGAGTGATTTCTTCATTATAAGCTGCAAGTCAGAGCTAAATGTAACACAGGACTGACAGCAGATTTCTGAAAGGTTGTGCTGGCTGCTAGAATTATCTTCGGGGCAAATGGATAGTGACTAGATGATAGATTACTGTATAAAGCTTGGAATTAAGTACTAACAAACCGAGTTGATCAAAGACGTGCGTGAAGGTCTTAGTGAAGGTCAATTATGTGAAAATATGGTAGTAGAAGGAGCAGCAGATCCGAATGTACTGGTTCCAAAGGTCTTCTGAGCTCTGCATCCTGAACAACAAATGGAAGAAATTAGACTATGATTTTCAGCGACTTTCTGATTAGCTGCCATGCTATTGTTATCCAGTCTACTGGGATGTGAAATTTGTTTTCTTTCTTTCTTTTTCTTTCCAACTGTGTCAAGAAAAAGGAATTCTCAACCTTGTCTTGTTTTCCTTTAATCATTTTATTAGGGGCTCATACAGCTCTTATCACAATACATACATACATCAATTGTGTAACTCAATCTTTTCTTAATGCTAATTGCTGGCATTAAAAACAACAACAACATTACTTGACCACTGCTGTGCCATTCTTTGAGAACCTTTCCTCAGAGTTGTAGGGTTTCCTAAGAGAAAACTTAGGTATCAGAATTGTCTTTATCAGCTTATTATATCTTGTATATGGTATTTCTTAATGTGAGCAATCTTTTCTGTGAACAGAAAAGACAGAATTTTTCTTGCAGATAGATGACCTTAATTTGAAGTTTGGTTTTTGGGAAAGATTGGGAAGAAGCTTGCCTCTCTTAGAACAAGCTCTGAAACCCTGACTGATACTGTATTTGTTGACATTGGTGGTGGTGGTGGTGGTGGGAAATAGGAGTTGGGTAGTGGGGAGTCGGAAGGGGTTAGGGGTTATAGGGGGTTGGATAGGAATGACATCAAAAATTCAAAGGCTAACCTGGAACTACAATAATTCTTGCTGTAATTGAAAGATAACTTTAGATAACTTGTCACAGAGATTATCTGTAGCTGTGTGTATTGATGCTTCCTACTTCATATAGCAATTGTTAAAGTTCTTGAGCTAGATGGTAGCCTACTTTAGTTACTTGTGACTCTTTTGCATGCCAAAAGTTCAGAGTGTAGAAGAGCCCTTGGACCATATATTAACTAAGTGGTGCTTCAAACGATGACACACTGTTATCACCAAATAGATTTTTTTCTGCAAGGTTCATAGAAGTGACATTATTAATTTTTGCTCATTTTCCCAACTCTGTTAACCTCTATTTAGCTGTCATTGCCTAGACAGACATGCAAAGGTATTTAGGGTTAGAATATATAATAGCATTTAATTATGGTGTTAGCAATATGTAATGGCAATAAAAGAATACAAAGGTTGTCCAGATCTGTTATAACTAACTTTAAATGCAAAACAAAACAGAACAAAAACCTAATCTTTCATGTGCAGAAAGCACAATGTACCTGTGTGGGTCTTCAAGGAAAGATGCCCTTACATGGACATTGGTCTACTCGCTGGCTAATGGCATGTTTAGGAAATTAAATGGAGACCAGTACAGACCCATTTACAACTCACCCCGCAGGAAAGGAGGTGTTTGGGATAGAGGTGCTTGTTTTGTTCTCATTTTGCAAAGATGGCAGACCAGGACCCAAAGGATCCACTTGGTGTAAGGAGCCCCTGCTGGTTCTTCCAGTAATAAGTCCATTGTAGCGTGGAGATCTCTGTGGTGACTCAACCTGAGTCCAGCGAGTGTGCTTCTGCTCTGTCATTGTTGACACATCATCTTCAAGTATGAATGTACTCGGGTGTGGTATTTATCCTTTTCCGCCTCCATTCTACTTCTATCACACAGCTGTGTGATCCATGTTGGTGGCCAACTAGATTGCAGTAGAGTATGGTTGGGGAAATGTGGGAAAAGAAATCCCTTTAGGTACTTTAGCTTCCTTATTTTTGATGGTGGTCTTCACTGTATGTATCTTTTCATCTTCCTTTTTTTTCCCCTTCATTTTTCACTTCCCAAGTGGAAGAAGATACAGAAGAAAGTTCGAGATCCGGGCGAGAGTCTGTCTCCACAGCTAGTGACCACCCTTCTCACTCCCTGGAGAGACAAATGAATGGAAACCAAGAGAAAGGCGATAAGAGTGACCGGAGGAAAGACAAGACTGCAAAAGAGAAAAAGAAAGATAGAGACAAAGAAAAGGACAAAATCAAAGCCAAGAAGGGAATGCTGAAGGGCTTGGGAGACATGTTCAGGTAAGTACTTGACCAATCCCAACTGGAACAACCTAAGCTTCTGAGTGTGAAGTTCAAAGAGGTACTAAATGCACAGACTTGAAAGCATGTTCAACGTCAATCAAAACGCTTGTATACTTCCCAGTCTTAGCTTCTTTCCTTTCCCTTCTGAAGGATTTCACTCTATGGCTTCAAACCTTTTTACCAGCCTTCAGGATGACATCTTGCCAACCATGTAAGTCAGTTGGCCAGAGGAAGGAGGAGGACACATCTGTATTTCAGCTGTGCATAACAGCAAAAGCCCCATTGACTCAAAGGGTTATTAAAGCAATGTTTGCTCTTTTTTGGAGAGTGAACAATGATTCATTATTTAAATTTAACATAAAGCTCAAGTTAGTGGTAGCTTTTAAAGGTTCATTAATAACAAGTCTAACATAAAAAAGGTTACAAATAGAGCTTCAATTAGGCTGTGTTGATTAATTTAATACTTATTACTTCAGTCTGAAAAGATTTCATTAAGCAGAGTCTCTGGCTGTTTCTTGACAGTTGTTTTTGTGTCCCTAAATTATACTCTAGGATTACTTAGCATATCGCTATTTTTTTTTTTTTTACAAATCTTTGCTATACAATAAAAGTGACAAGTTGTTCAGAAGTTACACTGAAACTCTCCCATAAATGTTCATAGAAGGTGATTTGTAATATTCAGGCATTTAATGTTACATATAAACCTTGCTTGATTGCTCCATAAATTAAACCCCTAAACATATCAAGATGATGGCTTGAAATGGGAAACAGACAGCACAGTCACTTGATTCCTGAAAACAAAAAGAAAACCCCAGAGATGACTTCTAGTATGAATTCTTTTGTTTTCACCTTGTTCTTTTTGATAATGGTTAACGCGAATAAGAGTTTTTGTTGTCGTAGAATGTTTTGCTTGATAATCCTCAGGTTGACCTCTGTAATTCAGGGAATGGTAGCTAAGTATGATCTGGAAAGTGGAAATATCATGACGTGGCTTGCACGTTCCACAACACAACAGGTGTATGCTGTAGATGGCTGGTCAAAGTGCAGGTAAAAAGTAGATGAAGCGTACGAGCAGATTGCACAAAGCCTGGCCTATGAAGTAGTAGGAGTGATCGTTCACGGACATCGGATTGGATTCCAGTCTCTAATGCTTCAGAATAGTTGTGGATTTGTAGTTTTTTCATTAGTGTTTACTTTCTTTATATTCTGCCTCCTCTGAATGCACTTTTGGGTCAGACCATTTTTCTTCGTTATAGCCTATGCCCAGGGACACTTAGGGGATGAACTTGGTCTGACTGCCACCATATTTCGGGTTCTTTATTAGTTAGGGGGCTTTTCATTTTCTATATGGAAACTGACAGCTCATAAACCGGCACTTACATAGCGCCCTGAAATAGGTCTGCTGCCCATCAGTTATAAAAACGTGTCCTATGTACGCACATGGAACGTGTGTAGGAACTGCCCGCTGTCGTCTAGGGTCGCCATGAGTCGACATCAACTTGATAGCAGTGAGGTCCTTTATTTTATTGTGGGGCTCCCACAAATGAGAGAATAAGGGGTGGGGAGGGAAGCCTCCCTTGAGACTTAATGCAGGTGAATTTTAGCAGAGCCCTATCTCCAGTAGTTCCGGAGTTCCCTCGAAAGGAAAACGCTTAGTTTTTAGTTCACTCAGTAGCTAACATTTAGCTGATAGATACACGATTCTGTTCTTGTCAAAGAATGATAACATTGACCACAATTAAGCCTTTTAGAATTATATTAATGCCCCTTTTTTGGGATGTGACTTGCAAATCCAAAACAATAAGTAGATGCCTGAACAATAAAAGCTTAAAGATGTTCACGTTGATACCAGTGGGGGAAATTTATATTTTTCCCAAGCTTTTAACTCTTGTTCCCCTTTCTGCTAAATGACCTATGAAACACCAGGTGGCATTTTCCTTAGACCTGCCTCTGTAACTCAACCTGTGGCCTGTAGTGAAAGCAGCATTGTGGTGAAGAAAGCACCTGTCTGTAGTTCTCAGGGCTTACCTCTTAATGGAAAACCGAGTTTGATGCTCAGAGGTCATCACTGAAAGTTTCCTTTTAAGGTGTAGCATATCTTTCTCCCAACAGTTTAGGAATGGCTGTTCTGTTTATTTAAAAATAAAAGACTCCCAAATGGTCTTGCTCTCCTGAATACATGGAATCCATACTTTTCTGGAGCTAAGCTACGTGGCCTTATGAGAGGCAATTTTGAAATTTGGGGAGATTTTGCCAACTGATCAGGTGAAACACAGCCGCAATTTAAAATCGGATAGGTTGTATTACAGTCGGCACTAGTTCATGGTGCAAACCTCATCACTTCCTCAATTGCTATCGTATCCCCTTGCGGATCCTGGTACGTTTCACTTTTGCATGCTGCATCAACGACGACGTGGTCGTGTTGCTACTGAGCGAGGCTTCCTCATCCCATGACATCATACTGGAAACCTGAGATCAGCCAGGGCGGAAATATTTGCCCCCTGGGAGCCGGTGCAGCTTTTCCCTGCAGAGTGGCCGCTGAGACATAGACCAGCACACTGCCAGGGAGACTTCGAGAAGCGCTCTCCAGATGCCGCTCCACAGGCACCCCCTCGTCACCACCGATAAGCCTTCTGTTTTCTTTGTCCCCATCATCGCTCATGCCTTTATTACCTGCCCTTAGTACTTGAGCCGTCTCCGAAAATGTCGCTAGATTTTCACCAGCATTTTTTAAAACTCCTTTTCATACATACTGGGACTGATTCTTTTTTTTTTTTTTTTTGAGACTAGTAAAAGATTATTCCTATTTGATTCACTCTCGCATGCATGTTTAAACCATACTCCAAATTAGTCTCTTAACTTGCCCTTTCTTCTTTTAAAGAGATTAGGGTGATCTTAGATGGCATAGTTAGAACATGTGTGTTCATGTAAGACGGGTTCTCCAAAAGTTAGTGGAAACATGGAATGGGCAGACGGGGATGTTTCCACAAACTTGTTTGTTTGAAGCACCCTCGGGCTGTTCTTGGTACAGGTCGGTTAGTAAGGGAGTTAGTTCAGGGGTGCCCAGTGTCGACCAAGAGTTGGATAAAGCAGGTTGTGTTTGTGTGTTGTTTCTGTTGTGTGGTTCCATGTACTAACAGAGAAGGATTAGGAGCATAAGCTGCCAGGAGTCTCACTTTCCAGGTACCTGTAGCAGCATTTGGGAGAAGATTTGCTTTTCTTTGAAAACAGCCTCTCCAGTCCCCATTCCTCAATGCTACCACTGCCACTGTAGCTTGGCTGTGATTTTTGATAAACTTTGAGGTGAACCAAATCGATGGGCCACATTTAAAGCTCTGGATCCCAGGAGGCCATGGTGGGTTGAGTAGGGTGGGTTCTATTCATTCGCATTCACCGATGACATGGTTTTCGATTTAACACATTGAATGGTCGCTCCCCAATCCCCCACAAATAATTTAATTATTGATAAACAACTCTGGGAGAGAGTGCTGTGAGTCATCTGAATCTCTCCTCTGTTTATAAATTATGGAGCACACCAAGTGCAAAAGCTGCCTGAACGCAAGTTTTAAATCACAGATTTAACTCTGTAAGAAGTCAAATAACCAATGGAAAGTGGTTTATGCTTGTATTCATTTCTCCCTGCACATACATCTTCCTTAGCCCACAAACCAAGCCATAAGTAAAAGAGGAGACAGCAAAACAAATAAAGCCCATCGCTACTGAGCAAACCCCGGCTCGTGGCAGAGGGTCTCCACCCAAGCCTGCCCTCTTCCCCAGGCGCCGGCTGTCACACCTCTTTTCCTGGGTACTTAAGCGTGGTGCCACCAGTGCTCCATCTCTGGCACGTGGGAAACTCCCGCGGCCCTCATTAAACGGACTCAGTGTCAGACGGACCTGCCCTGCTTACCAAACAGCTAGAGCGGCCTCGAGAATGTAATCAACTGGTGCTCAAAACACAGCCGAGGGCGAGTGTGGAGTTTTGGATCTGTGTCTGTGTGGATTGTCTGGCAGTTGGCGATTGAAATGTAATCCCAGGGAATCTTTCTGCGGTTACACAAACCTGTCACTAAGGAGGGAGCTGCGATCCACGTTCCGAGGAGGGAGACCGCTTGTGGAATGTTTTCAAGGAGTTGGGGTTTGAAAGAAAACAGCAACACGAAGCCACCAGCATCCCCCGTAGATGCCATGTCTACATTCAAAAGCCATTGTGACAATGGCATCCTGTAGCCCAGAGTGTGCAACCAGATAGTCAGAATGGGAGATGCTGTGGTCCCCCCTTTTTCTTCTCAGTGAAGGAGGTGTAGCTTAGGAGCCCAGGTCGTTGCTAGTTGGGCTGAAATCTGAGGTCAGTAGTTGGAAACCATCGCCCTGCCCTCCCTAACCCCCCCTCCTCGCCCCCCCAGGAGAAAGACAGGGCTTTCTCTCACAGCCTCCGGGACTTCCAGGGCAGCTCTGCCCTGTCGTGTAGGATGGCTTACGTGTCAGCATGGACTCGATGGCAGGGAGCTTGGAGGTGTCGTTTGGCAGCACTTTAGGAGCCAGTATCGGCTGAGTGTCAGGTTGCCTCTCAAAGTAAGGATGCTTAGCTTCAGCCGGTGGCATGGTTCCCAGGGGACAGGTGGGAGCTTAGCTTGGCAGAAAGCGAGAACAAAGGAAGGGGTGCAAGATTGCTGTTCAAATGGAATTCTCCAAATACCTTGAAAAAGATTGGCTTGGGTCCCTGCAACATTTTTTGTGTGTTTGTTTCTGTTCTGCAAGAGGAAGTGGATCATTTCCTTGGAAACCTGGTTTGGGTGACACTGGATAGATGACCCCTGTCATTTCCTGGGTGGACCCTTAATCGTTTTCAGAGCACAATGAGCATGATTAGATCAGGCCACGTACGGTTGTAGTGTCGAGTCGCACTGCCCAGCCCAGGACATAGGAACGAAATGACCGTTGCTTCCCTGCCGTGTTCTCACTAACCGTGTGTCTGTGCCGTGTCTCTCGTTTAGCAG